CCCAGGCAGTGCTACAGGCTGGGGGCAGTGGCTGGAAAGCTGCCAGATGGAAAAGGACCTGGCTGTGCTGGTCAGCAGCTGAACATGATCCAGCGTGTGCCCAGGTGGCCAAGAAGGCCGATGGCACCCTGGCCTGGATCAGCACTGCTGTGGCCAGCAGGAGCAGGGCAGTGACCGTCCCCCTGTACTCAGCACTGCTGAGGCCACAGCTCCAATCCTGTGCTCAGTTCTGGGCCCCTCACTGCAAGAAAGACATTGAGGGGCTGGAGCGTGTCCAGAGAGGGGCAGCGGGGCTGGGGAAGGGGCCAGTACATGAATCCTATGAAGAGCAAGTAAGGGGTGCTCAGCCTGGAGAAAAGGAGGCTCAGGGGAGACCTTACTGCTCTCTACATCTGCCTGAAAGGAGGGTGTGGCCAGGTGGGAGTTGGCCTCTTCTCCCAGGTAACAAGTGACAAGAGAAGAGGAAACAGCCTCCAGTTGTGTCAGGGGAGGTTTAGATTGGATATTAGGGTGGTTTTTATCATGGAAAAGGTTGTCAGTCATTGAAACATGCTCCAGGGTAGTGGTGGTGTACACATCCCTGGAGGTATTTAAAAGATGTGTAGATAAGGCACTTAAAGACGTGGGCTAGGGATGGACTGGGCATTGCTGGGTTAATGGTTGGATTTGATGATCTGAGAGAACTTTTTCAACCAAAGCAATTGTATGATTCTGTGTTTCTAAGTCTATGGTCATATCTATAATTTTTCTTCAGTGTAAATTTAGATTATAGGAGAAGACTGATGATACAATTATAAATACAAACTCCTGCATCATACACCAAACTTTTGAAAAGTAAATTTTGCACTTCAGACACTCCTATGCCTATTTATTTCTTTACATTCCAGGTACGATATTTTGTTTTCAGCTGACAAGATCTACAATATATGAAACAAAATGCAAATCCCTATTGAAGAAAGGTAGTACCCATCATTTGTAGAAAATGTTATATCTTCAGGTCAAAGTAGGAATTCATTGCATTAACAATTATTTTATGAACTACCATGCATAATGGTCCCTTTTCTCTCCATGTTGTTTAGAAATACAAATTATTTATGAGTTATATCTATTTCTAATGGACCCTGCTAAATTACTGTTCCTTAAAAGTTCTTGGGACTTCCTGAACTTAGCAAATGTCTTCAAATACCAAAATGAAAATAAAGCTAGAGGATGAGGCAGTCTGATATAAATTGTTAAAGCCTGTTTACAGTAATATAAAGTTCATGTTTGTTTGGGCTCTTTTTACATAAACAGAAAATAGGGTAAGCCAGCTGAAGAGACTGACATCAGTATTTTCAATTATATTTTTACAATAAAATAGCCATAAGGATAGTTTGTAGAAATTAAAGCTGAACACATTTAAATTAAATACTTACTAAGAGTTGTTTATCTGCAAAACATGTGAAGCAAATGGGTTTCTGGTAATGGCTTTTTGAACATCTGAAAAAGCATGAAAATATACAATGAGTATTAAATAAACAAAATACTTCAATAAAAATAAGATTCACAGTCAAATATTCAACTTAAAACTTTCTGAAGATTGTGGAAATGTAATTTAATAGCACTGGTTTTATTTCCCCTACCAACAGCTGCTGAAGTATAGGCCATACCTCTAGTTTAAAAAAAATTTAGTACCAATAAAGACATCTAAATCTAGAGAAAAGAATGCCATCTACTCTCCAGCAACAAATATTCCGAATGTAGATTGGCTAGTGATTGACTGCTATTCAATAAAAAGACCAATACAAAGCTACATGTTTTTTTAATTTGGTAACATTTGAAAACAAAGCCAAAGGAAGGAGTGCAGAAAGATAACAGTTTAGAAAAGCAGTGTACTTGTATGATGTGTAAATACCTACAACTTTACCTTACCTTACCTTACTTACTTACAAGTACTTACATGTAAGTCTACCTGTAAAATTTCCTAGCTTCCTATTACCAATTTTAATCCCCAAATAATTAGGCACGCTAATTAAATTTCTGAGATACATATGTACATGTATGTATTACACTAACTTTCACAGTTACTTCATTTGCAATCTGTTAACTCCTGTGATTCTTTCACTGTTTCTTCCATATTGCTATGTACTTTTCTTACAGTTTTCCTTTTCACACTTCAAAAGTTTCAGTGTTCTTGCTCCCAGTTCTTTTGCTGAATTCATCTTTCCCTTCTTTGTAGTTTCTCTGTTACTTACACAGAAATTTAGCTTGATATGCTCATATTTCTCTTTTCATATCTACTTTCTTGACCTGAGCACATCATACTGAAACACTTTTCTGGTAAAAAACGGATTCTTAAATTTCCATTTGCCTGGAAGCAATAACCACAGGTTATACAATTTATACAATGAAATTCTGAACCACTGTTTGACAGAGCAAGAATTGTAAGCTACAGCTGCACAATGTTTCTAAACAATTGCAAAGATCTTTTATTCTTCTGTTGCAGTCTATAGGAAACTGAAGCCTTTTTCCTCAAAGTCATACTATTTACCATGTAATGTAGAAATATATGGAGAGTGTGCAGAAGTTTAATAAGCCCTGGTTTAGTTTGATTCCAGTCAATAAGGGGGTAAACTTGGGTAACCTGACCATAAATGGCGCAGTCCAGAAGGAACAGTAGTGGAATAGTAAAGCGAAACCAATGGACTTTAAGAAAGCACATTCTAATAAACTCAAATAATTGGCATGTAAAATTTTATATGAAAAAAGTGCAAGGAAAATATAAAATTCAGGAGAGCTGGCAATTCCATGCAGAGCACAAATGGCAAGCAGTTGTTCCAATCATATAAAAAGCCAAGCAGCCAAGCAGAAGAGACTAAGTAATAAGGTCCCCACTGATTTCAAATACAGGATGGAGCACAAAAAATACCGAAACTATGCCAAACTAATGTGAATTTTTAATGGAAGACCTGTATGATCACATCAGTCAAAGCAAATCCCAAAGTAGCAAGAGACTTCAAGAAGTAAGTTTGTTCTTCAAGTGTAATATCATAGGATGACTAATGAAAGTGTTAGCTAATTAATCACTGAGGAAAAAATTATTAAGAACAAGTGTGGTAGCACACAAACAAGTACAGACTTTTCCCCCACATTCTTTAGCAAAATGGAAGCTGTGATTGGGAAGTTCATATAAAGAGCACCAGTATAAATCCGGTAAGAAATCCACATGGCATAAAGGAAGAACAAGTTAGAGAATGCTTAGGTAAGTCTGACATTTTTTTAATGGTTGCACAAGTAATATTCACTTAAACATTTAGATTTATCTGCAGCAACATCAGATCTCATTATTTCTAGCCTTTCAGAATTCATGGAGAAGAGGAACATTCTAAAATATTGGAAGTAAGAAAATGAAAAACCATTCAATATAAAGGGCTACATTTGCAAAACTATATGACATAGAGGGCAATAATTTGCAAAAAGAATTGCAAAAAAATTAAGATGGATAAGCTTTGGAACAGATTTCCAAGTGAGGCTGATGCACCTGATGCACCTTGAATGAACAATTTTGACAAATACCCCTAAAAAACACTTGTACAGTTAGGTTGGGCCAGTTTCTGAAGATGTCCTCCCGTCACATTTAGAATTATTTTTTGCCAAGACAAAGTCATCATTATTTAAAATTAATTTCATTGACTCAAAAAAGGGTTTCCTGATTTTGATACACTGTTACATTTAGTAAACTACAACAACAACAACAACAACAACAGAAAGTATTTCTATTACAAGTTTCCTGTTTTTAATCCCGAAAATCTACGGCAACAAAATATAAAGTTATTTAATCAATTGATGTAGCATTCTATTTATTATCCAGCTTACTTTGGAGCTTTTGATTCAAACAATCCAGAGACTGGAAAATCTTCTGTTCTTCTATGGAAAGGGTACTCCTGCCTGGACACAGAGCCCTTTTAAGCAGTGAGAGCATTCTGTCTGGCTTCACACAGTCCATGGCTGCCAGGATTTCACCCTCTGCAATTGGTGTATTTGCTAGTTTTTCTGCCACTAGAAATTGAGCAGTGCTTTCTGAAACTGAAGAGATTACAGGGGGATTTTCAAATGAGAAAGGTGCATTTGAATAAACATTTAAATAAATTGCTCATTTTCATAACCATAGTTCTTTGAAACACACAAAATTGACATTAAAAGAAGAAAAAGATGGGAAAATCAATAAACATGATATGTTAAAAAATTAAATTACTAAGGACACTAATACATTTTACAAATGGCACCAGAGTAGGTACTAATGGGTTTGGAAATATGTAATGATAGCAAGCAATACCTGTCCACATCGTACAGTTATATGTGACACATACAATTAAAAAAAAAAAAACAGGAATTAAATGAAAATGGAATATATGTTGTAATGCGTTTATAAAACCATTAATATCATGCTATATGATGCTATATCTTATATTTACAGGAAAAAAATTGCTGTACAGAATTACCCTTTCTTACTTATTATCACTGATGCCAAAAGACACAAGCCATGTTACACAGTGGGTATATTCTGTCATTCTACTTTATGTATAATAAAGAACTGAAGTGAATTGTGTTACTATACCTTCCTCAGATTTAGAGATGTTTTTCATCTTTTGTACTGGATCAAATGCAGATTGAATGGGACTCAGCTGGACAGCACATAATGAATTCTATCAAAAATATTGTAAGAGTATTTTAAGTGTAATTTAAAGTAACTATACTATCTTCTGAACATGTTTTAATTTTTAAAAAATTAATATTTAATATTGTATTACTAAATGTTTTCAAGTGAAAAAATATCACAGCACACAAATATAGAGATGTATTCTAGCTGGTTTTATTCATTTTATTAGCAGTGACAGCAAGCTGACTATGCACATTGATTCAAAATCACGGGACAATGAACAAATCTTTGATATTCCTGAAACATTTTCAATTTTTAAGATAAATAACATTTTTGGTTTTTTACAGTATTTTATATTAACCTGTGCATGATGAGCAGGCTTCCACATTTTAGAGACAACACTTTGTCTTCTGCATTCTGAAAAACCTTGGTGTTTATTTTCATAGTTGCCAAAGCCCTGATTTTGTCTTGTAACAGGAACACCACCTTAAATGACATGGAGAAAAAAGCAAGCCAAAAATGTGTAAACAACATGATAAAATCTAGTAATAGCAGAACTAACAATGGTGAGTAAATGTCTCTGACCATATTTTGATATCTACATCTGTTCTCCTTAAATTGTCTTAGATGCGGAGGTACGCAGCTTAAGTGAAGCCCTGTGTTGAGTCCCAGATAATAAAGATGGTCTGTACAGAGATACAAGAGCACCAATAATAAGGTGGTCTTACCAAGTAAAAAGGAGAATGAAAGGTGAGATGTAATATAAAAAATATCAAATAAGTAATGTTTAGAAAATAAAGTGAATTTAAAGAATAATCTTAAAGTCTAACCGTCCAACACAATAAATCCCTGTTGATAAATTGTTATATTTATATGTTAATTGATTCAACTTTCACTAGGATTCCATATTAGTGTGCAGAAAACATGTAGTAGTTCAAAAACTTCATCTGATTCACAAAATCACAGAATGGCAGACATGGGAAGGGACCTTCTGAGGCCTTCTGGTCCAGTGTCCCCACTCTAGTAGGGCTAAATAGAGCTAATTTCCAAGGAAGATGCCCAAATGGCTTTTGAGTGACTCCAAGGATGGAGACTCAAGAAATTCTCTGGGCAATTTATGCCAGTGCTCAGTCACTCACACAATTATAAAAGGGTTTCCTGACGTTCAGAGGGAAATTCCTGTGTTTCAGTTTGTACCCAATGCTCAGGTACTTTCAGTGAGCGCCGTAAGTTTAATAAGTCTCTCTCTAAAAGTCCTCTTTGCAGCTTCCTCCCAGGTATTTACAGACATTGGTAAGACTCCCCAAAGCCTTCTCTTCTCCAGGCTGAATACTGCAAGCCCTCAGCCTTTCCTCATAGGAGAGGTGCTCCCATCCCTTTACCATCTTTGTGGCTCCACTCTAGACTCTCTCCAGCATGTCCATGTCTCTCTTGCACTGAGGAGCCCAGAACTGAACACAGTATTCCAGGTGTGGCCTCATAGGTGTTGTGAGGTTTAAAAGTCATGCATTTAAAACTTATTTCTATAGCTTGGCATTTCATAGTTAATCTTATTAATTCATACATCTTTGTGCTAATTTTTAAAAGGCAGTACTGCTAGGCAGCATTTTCTCTCAGCCAGAGAGGTCTAATCTAGACACTGTACCTCAAATTTATCTCAGTTTTGTCTGGTGTAGCAATACATTTTCAAAATGAAAGCCTTACATTTCAAAATTAAAATTATGTTCTTAATTAAACTTTAATGCATACAAATTGGAGATGCAAATTAGTATTTTCATGTGCAACTCAGGAATCTACATACCAAGGAGATACTATATTCTTATTTGTAAGCAAAGTTACTAGATTTGTAAATGGAGTTACTTGATTTAAACTTGGAAAGACAAATTACCTATTTATTTACACAATAAATATTTACATGTGCAGTTTAATGTTCAGTTCATAATTTGACCAAGAGTTGCATTCATGATTCTAACACAATTTCATTTATTTTCTGGTTATTGAAGTGACACTAAAGCAGAATTCTTATCACACAAAGAAAAAGAAAAGAACTGATCCTAGAAGTAGTCATCTGACTGCTGCCATCAATAGTAACATGGGACACATTAGGTTTGAAATGCTGCCATTTAGTTATTTGCAAATTATTGTATCACAATACATGGTGCTGAGTAAAATCTGAAAAGGAAAGGAAACGTGATCATGTTATATTGAATACAAGAGAAAATTTAAAATAAAAAGAAAAAGAAAGAAGAAGAATCCCCTTGTTACATTAGTAATCACATAATGCTTTTCTGAAAAAATAGAATTCAAAAGTTGCTCTATATCTATACATATATCTGTAATTAATTTAGTTAATTTACAAGATTAGATAAATGCAAAGAACATTCCTTTGAGATATATAAGACAAAATAGTAATTAATAGTATCTTTAGGGAATGATATACTGAGCAGTCTACTGCTATTTAACTTTAAGCATTTTAATTAGCCCCATATTTGTCACAGGCTAAAGGTTAAACACATTTTTAAAACCTTTACTGACTAAACAAGAAAGATGTTAGAAATTCTACCATATGTGTTGGGCAGAAGATATACAACTTGAAGCCTTGAAGCCAAACTAAATTAAGATCCTCATGGACAACAGTTGTATTCATCTGGTTCTCACTTTCTGTACATTTGGCAAAGCATTACAACAGATCACATTTTCTACAGTGTCTTCACAGACTTCATGGAATTCTGCAGACGTTTTACTAGAGAGCAGAGCAGTATTCAGTCTCACTGCAAGCACTTTAGGACAAGACTACAGTGTCTATGTGCATTTGCAGGCAATTGAACAAATAACAGCAAATCAGTAATAGTTATCTAGAGTATTTAAAATAAAGAAGACTTTCAAAATACAAAGTATAAGCAGATACTGAGAGAGGGCAACCCACATGAATTTTAAAAGGCAGTTACTCAGCCCTTCTCTAAAAGAGCTGGAGGTATGTGACACTGAGGATGTAGCATTTAAAGTTGCAGTGAAGATACTGTCAGTCGTGCACAGGACATTTCCTGATTCATTGATCTGATGTGCAGATAAGGACATCAAGAGACAAAAATCTCTGCTGGAGGCAAGGCGTGGTAATGCAAGTCTTCATTCATTTCCAATGTGAAATCAAATAGGTTAAGTTACACAGATCATAAACTCATCTGTTTGACTTTGAACTGGAACGGACAAGCAGATAATATTTTCTGTTCCCACTCCTGCTTTAGGCCAAGAATATTCACCTGCCTGCATCTGCTCTTACACAACAGAGCTGTTCTGAATCACTCCATTTAAATTGTAAAATCTGTTAAAACTGTATTACTGTAGATAAAACTAAGATGTGGGGGGTTTAAAGTTAAGGGTATTCATAATTTTGTTAAAAAGTATCTTTGAGTTCCATGGCCAATCCTTGGGGTGATCCCAGTATGTGAACCAGTTTGGAGTACTGCCTGTACCTGAAGCAGGAACTACAGCTTCAGGAGCTTCAGCTGCAGCTCTCAGTAGGAAGCAAACCAGCATACTACACAGAAATTACAAGTACAAGGATGTCATCAGTGCCCAAGGCACAGCATGTAGCTAGGCTGCACGGGACAAACAAGGCAAATCAAAAAACATAAAATGTAAATTGGAATGTAGGAGAATAAACCCTAGGAGATTAAAGTTATTCTCCCAAATTTTTCTTATCCATCTTTCCTGTAATTTTTCAACCAATCTGTGCCTCATATTGTTTCCAAGGTTAATTTTTAATGAAATGCAGAATTGTTCCTCAAATTTCTTAAAATTCTTTATAAATCAGATATACCTTGCAGCAGAGCAAAGTTTGCCTGGCAGAAGCTCTTTAATTTTAACTAATCTTTAATTTTTGCTCAGCTTTTAATAGTATAATTGGGACTAAGTCTCAGTAATTGTAGGCATTTAGAGTGTCAGCATTTTAAAAACACGGTAGAACTAAACTTCTTTCAGTCTCGTGTGGCAGTGACTGTTGGACAACAAGCTTTCACTCTTAAGTTACCTTGTAAAACTCACTTGTACAAACTTACTCACTTCCTCCTATATAATTATTTAGACCACCTGTCACATCTGCTCATTAGTCATGGATATAATCTCAGGGAAAATACTTCCTTTTCATTTAATATTGCAGAGAACTATTAGAAATGAGGATTGACGTTTGAGAGGCCTCTGGGCACCACTAGAATAGAAATGAGAATGACAAATGGTGAAAGCTTGTTAAAACTGGCTGTGTTGTGTGAAAAGGTTGGGTGTTTTAATTGAAAATAAATCTGTGATGTATTTGAAGAAGACTTTTGTCTAAACATTCCCCCACCCCAGACCCAGAAACATAACTCTTACCAGTAGCAGAGTCTTTTGGAGCTTGGGTAGAATGTGCTCCGTGCCAGAAGGTGCTTGTTTTTCCAGCTGCTGGGATACGATGGAGATGTAATCTATTTTCTGTGTTAACAGGTCTTTTCTCAGAGCAAGTTACTGAATTATCTTGACAGTCACTTGCCTTAACATTATTTACAGAACAAGTATTTTTTGCCCAAGGTTTGTATTTGGCCCTGCTGCAGTCAGGTGTAGAGATGGCAGTGGCCACATCAGCACAACCAGCAGTATTCTCACTGTTTCCTGCGCTGTTCCTATTTAAAACCTGACTTGCTAGCACAACATGCCTGTCATTGAAATCACTGCTGCTAGCACCAGTAGCTTGCAGGCTGGCAGGTGGCAGTGACTGACACCCAGGGCTGGCCGGGCTCTCAACACTGTTTCCTGGCAGAGGTGTGGAAGGTGGGTGAGGTACAAGGCATTTCCCTGGAGATTTTTGAGTTTTGTTGACTTCAGTGGCTGACTGCAGTTGGATCATGGTGCCTGTTCTCTTCTTGGGCATAAAATGTGACTGGAATTTTACAGATGTTACTCTTCTGGTTATTTTTGTCTTATTTTTGAGTTGTCCACCTTCATTAATTTTAGCCTTATTCCTACATACTGGGGGTTTACTTGCTTTATCTTTTGATACCATCCAAGCTTCCTTAGCAGAAAAGGATCCTGTAGATGTAAGTATATTCTGAGATGGATATTCCTTATTTAATTTTTCAGTATTAATGTTTGGTTTTGACATATGAGAATTTTCCTGATGATTTTTTATAAACATGGGGTTTGAAGGCTGAGCAACAATACTTAAATTATTCTTAGGAGTGTTATTTGCAGTTTGAACACACTGTAGTTTTGAAGAAGATATTTCACTGATGCTTTTTTCATAGCATTTTTTGCTATTTTCTATTATTATCTGGTCAATTTCATCACACCATTTTAGCTTCCTATTGCATTTTTCATTTTCTGCACATTTCTTTTTTATTTTTGCCAGTTCTAAACTGTCTCTGATAGATGACATGAGTTGAGTTCCAAAGCTGATCCCATGGTCTGTAACCACAGCTTTGAAATGATTGGGTTCACATTTAGAACTCTTCTTTAAGATACTTGTGAATAGCTTGGCTCTTTTTCTTTCAAGAATATTATTTTTCAGGCTTGTGTCCTGTCTAGGAGTGTCAGAAGTGAACTCTGTATCAGGTAACAGTGACATATTTTCAATTATATTTCCCTTTCCTTCTTTATTATTCTTTTGTTTAACTTCCAACAGAACTGAGGCATTTGGTATGTCCTGAAATAAAGATGTTTCTGAAATAATGTCATTCATACATTTAATATTGCCTTCTTTTGTTTCAGTCATTTTTGCTAAGGTATTTTTAAAAAAGCCTGTATTGATGTTTTTGTCCTTTGGTAACACATCAACTGTGCTGGGAATGGCAGTGGAACATCCCTGATTAGGAAATAAGATTACAGATGTTGCAATAGGTTGACTGGATGCTTGCATAGATTTAGTTCTCTCCTGTGGGGTCATTTTAAAACTCTGATCTTGCATCAGATCCTGAATTTTTTCTTCTGGAAGAGAATCAGGGCTGTCCCAGGCTCTGCTACGAGTGAAAACAGGATGACCAGTGGCAAATGTGCTAGCTGCTCCAAAAGATGGTTTGCTTCTGTCTTTTATGTTTTGCAGGAAACTAAATGCATTACTTACAGAGCTCTTTTGCTTACCAGAGGCAGAGAATTCTGCAGGTTGTTTTCCAGATCTGTGAGAAGCAGATGATTCCTCTTCTGAAGTGTTTACATGTTCAGCAGGAGTTAGAACATTATGTTTAGCTAAAAGATCATGAGTAGGTATGTTGTGGTAGTGTAGCAAATCTACGTTTCTCAGACAATTATTTAGATGTTCATTTTTAGAAGTACTTTGATCTGTATGAAGTAAACCATTATTCCTAGTCTGGCATTTTTCTGGATCATACAGGGCACAGTCACACTGTGTGGTAAAAGATGATTCACTCTGTGTTGTGCAATTTCCATTTTGTTCTCCAGCCTCAAGACTGTCAAGGCTCATCAGGCTTTCTGAATCATCTCTTTCTTTGACTTCGTGATGAAAATTCTGAAATACAGGCAGAAAACCGAACTCTCAGATTTTTCAGAAATGTGGTTTTGCTAATAATTTTTCATTAATGAGAGATTAGACCAAAAAATATTGAGCCTAGTGTTTTTATGACTTGGGGTCATATCTCCATGAGTGTTTCCATCGAGTCAAAATATACCTTTCTTAAATTGCAAAAGACAATAACATAGTTTGGGAAGAAATCCAGAGAAGAGAGCAGCATAGTTCAACAAAATTAATCTTAAATTATATATAAATTCTGCAGTATTTAAAAATGAACTAAATTTATCTGAACAACAGTACTGTTTCTGAATTTCCCTATGAGACTGGGTGGTTTTCATCCTCTGTAAGGGTACTTGAGTTATAAATTGAAAGGGAATCAATGAAAATGAAGGTTTGATAGGGGATCTACCCCAAACTGCAACTTTTCCATAATATTAGACTGAGTATGTTTCTTTTCATAGGAAGTGCCACAAGCAATGAGGAGTTAAGCCTTGTCATGGCAAACACAGAAAGTCTCTTGGTTTTCACACCCACAGTGATTAACAATTCCCCCAGTGAAACTCTTCAAGTCTTTCAGAAAGAAGAAAATATTTCCTGTTCTATGAGGACAAATCAAGTCCCAGGGCATAAGGGACTCTCATCCAGTTCTTCAACCTTTTAATTGAATTTTAATGGAGTGAGGAGTAAGAGCAATTGGCACCATCTGAAACACCAGTGGGACAGCTGTGTGCATGCATTATACAAATGTTTTCTTCACTATTACTCCTCTATCCAAGCACTGAGATGCTGACATGATTGAAAATACATACTTTGTTAAGTACAAGACTTCAAAGTACACATGAACGTAAAGGAAAACAAGCATGTTGACAATTTGCAGTCTCATACACTCTTGCCTTCAAGCTCCCTTTTATGCAGCTCAGCAGCAAAGTAATTTTAAACCTTATGTTGGACAAAATTGGTGCAAAAAATTAAGAGAAGCGAGAAGCTGAATTAGATATGCAATCTTATGCAATAAAGATTTTTTTTTCATTAGTGACTTCAAATGGAAAATGTTTCAACTAGCAAAATCTGTTAACCTAGGTGAGTGACTATATGTACCCTAGCAATGACATTGAATTAACATTTTGAAAACTCACCAAACACAGAATTCTTTAGTGAATAATAACACATTTTTGTAGTAAACATTTTTTATTTCAATAAAATTCTTTATCTAAATATTGCGCATATTTTATAGCTGTACAAATATATTAAACTGCAGAAGAAAAAGCTTAGTAAGTCCTGAAAGACTTTTTATTATTGAATTAAATATTATCTTGCACTAAATGCTTAGAGGTTGGTGCAGTCTTCCGTTATAGTTATGATCTGAGATAAAGATACTAAATAGAAGGTCAAAGAAGGAAGTGTAGGGAAAGATAAAATGTTCCCTTTAGGGAACATTTTCAAATTAAACCTATACAAACTGGTGTCCTTCCAATAAAAAAGAACAAGTAGCACTTTGTTAGTTATTTATTAACCATTATTTTTGGCTAAATTATATTGTTAACCTCTGCTTGAACTTCCTCAAACAAGCAAAAGGCATATACTCAAGAGTTTTCTGTATCAGACCAAATTTAACAACTAATTTTGAAATTTTCAGAAGGGGAAAAAAACAGTGAAAAGAAATTACAGCTGTCAGGCTTACTTCTTCTCTAATTTGGAAACTGCACCTGTATAGCAAAACATGTGTTTCTCAAATGGCAGTTAGACAGAAGAAAAATTTTGTAAATATAGATTTAAAAAAAAACAAACTTCTCTTGAGAGCAGGTTAGCTTAAGCAGATAAATCTGGAGGGTACAAGAAAATTTCCAACTTTCAAAAATTAAAAAAAAAAAATATTCTAAGCAGTTGTGGTCCAGAGGTTGAAAATAGGTCCAGAGGTTCCTACATTATATAAATAAGTATGCTCCTTATAAAGCAAAACCCCATGGAAAACAAAATCTCAGTTGAGGTAACATTCAGAAATGTTAGGAACTAAAGAACACAGAAGGAGTTCTCATTTAAACACACACTCACTCCTACTTACTTAATGCAAATTTAGTTCACTTACATTTATTTTGTTGCATCATACAATTTCATCCTTTCACACATTAAAGATGCTTAACATTCTCATTAAAATATTTACATATTTCTCATTTTATAGTACTATATAATGCAAATGAATGTCCCATTTCCTTGTAGAAATGTGTAATTAGAAGTACTTCTGCAGAAATAAAAAAAGCATTCAACAATTATCCTTTTTTAGTGATCAATAAGTGCAGGGAAATAAACCTAGGAATCCCAGTGACTTAATTTTATTTAATCTGTGAGAATATTATAGGATTATAAGAAAACAAAATATTCATAGAGTACTATATTGGTATTTACTGAATTTACATTTTTCCTGTTATAGAAGTACAATTTATTGTATAGCCTGCATTATCTTATGTTATAATGCATGAAATCCAACACCCACACATATCCACATTCCTAGTAAAGGAATACTTCCAAGGAGTTAAAAGAGGTCACTTGTATGTTTTAGGATTTAGAACAGCTGTGTCAAGCAATTTCATTTTAGTAAAGCACTAAAACAAAGAGCAAACATGAGCCTATGAGATCTCTCAGAAGGCCAGTGAAAGAACAACAAGTAAGATTTTAAGTGAACCTGATAAGTGAATTTTCTGCCAAAAGATTTTGTTAGAATGCTATTACACTAAAGAGCTGCTACATGTGTATTTGACATTTTCTGCAAAAGAAGTGCTGGCTGTTCATAATTCCAAGATGTGAATAGGAACACTCTTCTGGAAGATAAAATCCTGAAAAAATGCTACCTATTCTAAAAACCAAAGCCCCTCACACCTCTCACACTACTTGCTACTTTTGATAATTTCAACTGGTTTCTTTAGAGAAATTATTTGCTTTTCATATGTGTATATTTATCATGTTACACTTGGCATTGACTGTGAAGTAAAACACACCATTGAACTTATTTAGATGCAAAACTAACTTTCAAAGCCAATGAGGTACCTAAACAACTAATTTCAAATTTACCAACTATGGAATGTGAAAGTCCATTCAAAATTATTAATCTAATTTCCATATGAGCTTGAAAAACATCACATACATAGCAATACACAATTCTTATTTCTCAGAAGATCTGGGCAGACTCAAGAGAGCAAGTGACACTGTGAAAGGATTTTGGTGCTTTCCTTACACAAGAGTTCCATTTTACTGTGCCAAATCCACAGTCAAAGAAGCTATGAAGGTATAGGATGACCAGAGACAAGCTTACTATCAACACCGCTGTCTTTCCCAGTCTGATGCCTAGGTGCCTGATCTCCTCCCAGGCTAAGAATATGGAAACTACCCATCTATGAATCTATGAAATTTGAAATACCATCACAGGATGCTAGAAATGCAGGTTCAAGCTTCTCAGTATAAAAAAAAAACTTGTTTCTAATTTTATAGGCACGCAGGCAATATCAGTAAGCCATACTATCAGAAGATTTTAAAAGAAACATTCAACACCAATGTTTCATTCTGATTTTCAGTCTTAATAAGCCCTGAGGTAAATGTATATAATTGTGTAGGAAATAGATTTTCAGCTGAACTTGTCTCTCTGTTGCTTTAGCATCTCAGTACTCAGAGTGCTGCTTCTCAGGTACTCTGTCCCAGGTGTCTAGCTATCACACACTAATCCGGTCATTCAGTTCTAGGACTGCAATTTATAATGCTAGGTAAAAACACTATTAAAAGTGTTAAATGGTGAGGCAGTGTGCACAGTAATGCATTGTTCCCTTTTTTTTTTTTGTTCCTAACCCATTAATAAATTCAGTTTGAACAGGCATCATCTGCCCCACAAATTTGTCATACAAAAATAGCACGGGACATAACACAGACAGTCATACAGAAATACTGGGCATGGATATGAACAATGAATTCTAGAAATTCTTTAGTGTTTAACTAATAATCATTTTAGTGATTACAGTTAACAGATTTGAATGAACTGGAGCCATAACATCAGTAAAAAAGAACAAATTAATACTATCTGACCAGTACTATTCAGTTCCTTAATGAATTAGTGTGTGAATACAATTTAAAAAATAATCTCTTGTTCAGCTGAGGAACCCTACCCAAGCTCTTTTTTTTCTAAAAAAACAGTATACATATTTTTAGTCAATTAAAAAGGATTGCTTTTTCTTTTAGCAGTATACTTTGTAAAGATGGAAGAGTTTTTAACATGGTCTCACTGTTGTGCACTGCACAGCAGCAGCCAGGGAGGAAGGTGAATTTATGTAAGGAAATCCCAAAGGTCAGATACAGAAATACTTCCAGAATCATGGAACATTCCAAGTTGAAAGGGACCCATAAGGATCACTGAGTACAAAGCTGACTCCATACATGGCAACCTGAAGGCTAAACAATATATCTAAGAGCATTTCCTAGTATATATATTTACACCTTTCTAGAAATACATTTACCTAATAAGGCACTTTCATGTAATTTCCAACATTCACTGCATGGTTCATTAATATACTCACTTATCTTGAAAAAAAATTCCGTGACTTAAAATATTACCTTTTTTACAAAATCAACTTTTTTCAATCAGATATGTTTCAAGATATACATTCTTCCTAAGAACTTAACAGATTTGATTTTTAAGAACTTGTACAAGATTTCAGTATCTACCTTCCCCTAAACACCCTACCAGATTTAAAGGTTAATTTTTAAAAATCATGCCACTGTTTGAAATAGTGCAATTATTTGTTTATTACAAGAACTTTCAGTCTTCTGAAAGAGGTCCCAGTTACCCCCTACTTATCCTTGTCTTCTGAATTTTAGGTGTTTGTTTGATGCTTTATTTTGTACTTTATTTATGGTGAACCATACTTCCTTATGGAGATATGCAAGTATTGGGCATGAACTGCCCAGCAACGCTCAAGCTACTAAATACCACAGAAGTGCTGCTGCAGATTTATAAT